TGAGGGGGGTCAGCAGAGAGCTCTGCCTCTCTTATACAGCATTGTGGGGCACTTGATAGCTGCTGTTAGTCCAGAGAGAGTTATATTTTGAATGCAAGATCCTGCAGAATGGGAATAAAGGTATTTGCTCATCTCAGAAGGCTTCACAAGGATAAATTGGGACTGCAGAGTAGGGAATTCTTTCATAATGATTGTTATTATAGAACACGTGAAGAAGCTGATTGTTTTATCATCAGAGCATGGTTTAATAACATGTAGTAAATAAGATTGGAGACCAGAATAACTTTATTGAGTAGCTGCTCGTTAGATGAGCTTTGGCCTAGCATTTCATGGAGTTGGTCCGGAGTTCGAAGGAAAAATGCTATCTTAAGCGTACAGTTAAAGTATATGATAAGGAGGCTGCCCAAGAAACTGAATTTAAATTGCTTAAATAACCATAGCTGGCTTTTTTGCTAACTTTTAAGTCCTTGACTCTGCAGGTTTTGTATTTTTTCAAATGATCTTATTATTAAAAAAAAAAAAAAGCTGAAAACATACCCCAGTCTTGCTATAGTCTTGCTATATCTCACTAGCTTGCTTTAATACTGAAAGCAACTGATCAATTTTAGATTTGAAATGCTAAATAAATATGTATCTCTTTATGGAGAAATAGTTAGGAGTAAAAGATGTATGGGACTGAATAATTTTTTTTTTAAAGGACAGAAAATTCAGATATTTTAGTTGCAGAAGCTGAAGATGTGTCCCCTTAGGAATTTACAAATTATGACTTACTTATTTTTAAAGCCTTCTATTGAGGTCAAATATTGGTGGATCTTCAAAGAAGCAGTAAAAGACACATCTTTCACAGAAAGGCCAGATACATTTCTGTTGTTTTTAACAGTTTGAAAGAAAACAGGTTTTCTCCAACTTAGTTTTCTAAATCAGCTAAAATACTCTGACTGACTTTTGCAAAGATAAATATTTTCAACTGAAGCAGGTAACTACCACACATGGTATCTGACTCAAGTGGTTAACGTTTAGCAAAGGTATAAACCACTAAAAATGGGATCTTATTAATATTGCATAATATATATGGTGCCATGGTGATAAATAATATGTGGTAAACTTAGCATTTTTAAGGCGTTACACACCTTGCTGTCCTTGGTATTGATAGCAAGACATAGATGACTCAGGGCTTTATTACCACATCTACTACTAATTGCTTTTGGCTTGATGTGATTTTTTGATTTGGTCAGCAGTGCTGCCTGGCTGCTTCAGATCTGTCCACGTGCTGTGCTTTCTCTCTCCAAAACAGGTGTTTTTTGCGTCAGTGAGATCTGGAGGAAGTAGCCAAGTGTTTTTCATGACCCTCAACAGAAACTCCATGATGAACTGGTAACCGAAGAGCATGGGGCGCTTACCGTCATGGCATTATTTCTAATTTAAAGGATATTGAACACGCGGACTAACGCCGCTGCCACGGCAGATGCGGGTGGACCACGCGCTGCCGCCCCATCCCGCGCCGCCATTGCCCCGGGCAGAGGGGCCCGCGGGAGCGCGGCCCTGGCCAGCGTCCGCACTCGGGCCTCAGGAAACCGGCCTCCTGATTAAGCTGTGTTATAGTGGGTTATGAATTTTTCTTTTCTTTTTTTTTTCCTTTTTTTTTTCTTTTACTTTTTATTTGTTCCCTGCTTTGTAAGAACGGGGAAAGAAACTGTGTCGAAGAGTCTGTTTTTAATTCTGTCTGCCTGCTAGCATCAAATATTATAGTATGTTGTAAAGTTACCAATTAAATCTGGTGAGAGACAGCACAATAAATGTACCTTTTATCTTTGTGATGAAGGCCGTAACCGTATATAGCTGGGTCATTTTAGAAAACTTTTGCCTTCACCAACATTTACATGTTGCTCTTGGCAACAGCTGGACGGATTTTTAAAAAGAGAGAGAAGTAAAAGGTGGGCTTTTTTCTTTCCCCTCTTTTGGGAAATGGATTTTAAATGGCTAAACTACTAGCCTTAGACTAATAAAAGTAAGCTACCATTCTCGTCAGTCTGTCAATCCATATTTCTATATGGATCTTCACGTGGAGGCGAGTCGCCGCGGCAGGGGCGGTGGGGCCGGTGCACCGGGGCAGGGGCTGTGCAGAGGGGGGACGTTGTGGCCTCGCTGCCACCCACCATGGCACAACGACGGTGGCATCGTGTGACGTCCTGGGTGCTGAGATGGCCGCCGGGGCCTGGCATCCTGCATGACGCTGCAGCAGGGAGACCCCAGTGCGTGAAGGCGCCTCGCCGAATCAGGCTTGTAAAGAGCTTAAAAGATATATATATATGTGGTTTCTTTGGCCAAGGGTCTGGATCTATACTCGTTTCCCTGCCACTTCCCTCCCCTTCCTCACGAATTACCCAACATACAGTGAAAAACGACATCTGTGCCGAAATGTGTATGTATTTAGTTCAGGTTGAATTGTGTCCTTACGAACTCTGCTCAATTGATTTAAACTTTTAAGTGCGTATCTGGGATTCTTCTTTTCTCAGTAGCTGCAAGCATGGCTGCCTGTGGTATTAGGGTGTCGCATAACGAGATCTGTGTTGCTGGTTTTTAACCTACCTCGTTTTGTTTGTTTGTTTGTTTTTCTTTTCGTTCGGCTGTTGAGCACAGCACTGTTACCTCCAGCGACATATAGAGAGCTTAACTGGCAATCTTGGTGTACTCAGCAACGATGGCTTTATTAAAAAATAATTTTAAAACAATCAACAGTAGTTGGTCAGCCTTGAATCTTTTGTGAACCACAAGAAAACATTTGGCTGCTTGATCCCCAGGTGGTGATGAGTCCCCCTGCCACAGGAGCCAGCGCCACCCTGCCGCCATCTTCTCCCCACATCGCCCTGCCACCATCTTCTCCCCACACCGTCCTGGCACCATCTTCTCCTGCTGTCACTCGGCTGCGATGTTCTCCTGTCCAATCTGGCCACCATCTTCTCCTGCTGCTGCTGCCACCCAGCCGCCATCTTCTCCCACTGCCATCTGCCACTGACAGCCCCCACCTCCATGAGGCCACAAAATGGCGGCTGGGCTCCATGGCGGCGGCGCTGGGTTTCCCTCACGGGATTGCCACCAGCTCTTTATATTATCACTGCTGTTATCTTAAACCAGAGATTGTTACTGAGTTCGTGTTACAAACTGGTAACTCTCCTTTTCCTTTTCCCCTTGAAGTGACAAGTTCAGAATACACAGCTTTAAATGATTTTTTAAAATTATTTTTATTGTGGGGTTTGGGGATTCAGTTGTGGAATAAAAGGGAGTCGTTGTGTTTAAACATAAGGTAGTACGTGAATGTATTTTTTAAAAAACATGGAGTCGTTTGCAGCGCAGTCGTTAAGAAACCGATATTAACGCCGTCTTGTTTACAGCGTGTGTACATGAACATAACATAGATGAAACACATTTCTGGTGCCAACTACAATAAAACACAAAACTTCAACATGAAGCCCTGACTTTTATATATCTTTGTGCTGGCGCTCGTCCCCGGGACACTGACCGTCAGCTGGGCACCAAGGCTGCTGGTGCCACTGACTCATTCATCTTCCTCCCACACGCAGGCACCTCCCAAACAGGGTTCCCTATAAATACATCCAGCTTTGGTTTGCTCATCTTCCATTTCTTTTTCCAAACGCTGCATTCCCCACTCTGCTGCAATTCTGTGTCAAGCAGAGACTCCCTGCCAAGGACGAACGGCCAGGATGCATTCGGAAATAAATGCAGGGCTCGGGAAACGCGGCGCCCGACACCAGCGCCACTGGCATGAAGACGCTATATCCACCAAGCTGCCCGGCCGTACGTACCACTGCTTCTCCTTTCAACCATTGCAACCTCCTCTTTCCTATTGGTTTTTGGCTCTTTTTTTTTCTTTTTTTTTTCTCTGCATTTCAGGGTACTTTTATCTAGAAGGCCACAATCTTGCAATCCTCAATTTTCTTTTTTCCTTTCTGTTTTCTTTCTTGTTTTGCTCCTTGTTTTACATCAAAGCTGCCTCTAAAGAGCCCAGACCTGGTAAATAGGATGCATAAATTACTCTAGCCATGACACAGCATCACTGTCCTTGTAGTATCTTCAAATTACTTCCATTGATGTGAGAACGTGTTCAGTTGTTCAAAGGCAAAGTCCGGCTGTAAACTTCAACCCACTGCTTTTAGCACCTAATTATATTTAGCAATGTACATGGCACTGCAGCGTAACACAGGTGTCACTTTGTGTGCAAATAGTGTAAATTACACCCACGAAGAAACCTAAGTACCAAGAGATGCATGGTTACAAAATAACATAAGAAAGATGCTCTTCTTGTGCTCATATTCAAAGGCCACCTAATAGCAAGAAAAAGAAAATGATACAAGAAATAATACAAGAAAAAGCATAAATGAGCCTTAGGTGAGCTGGCAAAGCCTGGTTCCTAGCAGTAAGCACCGCAGGGCTGGCTTTGCAGGGAGGATGCTCTTGGCCCCAGGTTCAGCCTCCACCCTCCCCTCCACTCCTGTGATCTGCGTGGCCTTGGTGAAATCACTTGTGTGCTGCGTACTTTCGCTCACCAAATGCAAAATGCGGATAATATTGCTCCTGAACTTGCTATGTCGTGTAGATAAATGCACTGTAAGGTCTATGGCAGAGCAACAGGCCATTAAGAGTAGAGATTAGGCTGGCTAATCATTTATACTGGTGGAGACTAGCGTGCTGTTCTAGCATGCAGGAAGCTGCAGGTGCTGTTCTTTGGTTTTCCAAGCTAAGAGCCAGCATGGGAGACTCTGACATATCCTCCTCAAGGTGTTTCCAGTGGGAAGAAGAGATTTGAGAGCCAGTCTTTCCAATCCACTGGGTCTGCTGCAAGCTTGGAGCTCTCTTCTCCAGGTGCCCAGTCTACTCCATGGCTCCAAAGGAAGCTTTCCGAGCAGGAGCCAAAGCAGCAGCAGACAGAGTTGCCACAGAAGGTGATGGCCGGCAAGGCAATGGGCCTTCCCGTTAAAGCGGGGCAGCTGGAAGCGTTTCCTTCATTAAGGATGCTGCCTCCAGGTTCCCCTCTCCATCGTGGTTTCCATACCAGGCCCTGTGTGCACCCTCTGGGTTTCTGGCAAACTCTCCCTGCTCGGGTGGAAGACCACGCACGTTGGGCAAGGGAGCTGAGCAAGGAAAACAAAAAACATATGGGGCAGGATAAAAGCAACAGAAGTGCCACTTCACTCTCCATCCCCAGTATCTAGACGGGCTTTCTCCAGCATCACAACCTGCAATCTGCTCAGAGTCTGGCTGCTTTCCTTTATCTCAGACTCCCTGGGAGCCACAGACAGGCTGGGAATTCCAGGGGAGGAATTCCCCCTCCTCGCCTGGAGGGGAATTTGGGCCTGACCTGGAATTTCGCAGTGTGCACGGTTTCAATTTGGGGTATTGGTTTAGGCGCCTCATTTGTTTTCCAAGCCAAACTTGAGGAGCCAGCTAATCCCTTATCCTCACAATCCACCTGTGTGGAGGTATTTTCACAGGGTCTAGCTGCAATGCAAAAAGAAGGAGCTTGCAAATACCTCAGTATCCACAAACAAAGAGAACAAATGCATACAACAGAAATGGTCAAAGATGTCAGCTGCGAGGGCAAATATGGGGAAAACTTCAAAGAGCTCAGCCTCAGCATCCTCCCCCTCCCCACCCCTTTCCAGATCCACAGGCTTTCCAGGGGAATGCAGGTGCTGTGGCTGGAATGAATTGGCAGATGAATGCAATGAACTTTTCTCCTCAAGTTAAAGTTTTACTCCGAAGCCAGTGCAAAGATTAGTGGTTTTTCTCTAATCGTTTTTTTTCCCCTCTTCTTCCTCTCTGGACAGCACATTTTGTGCCCATGTGAAGTCTGACTGACTGCGAGCATCATCCAATGACGAGCAGTAACCAGCTGGGGTGTAAACCCTGATGTCACCCATCAGCGTTTATCTGCAGGGTAATGGGATTAATGAGCTTCTTGGTGATTCAGACTTTGGTAGATGCTGCGATCTGGCCCAGGGAGCTGGCTGATGTCTGCTGATCGTGTCAGAGACCTGGGGACAAGAAAGTCCACAAGGACGAACCGTAGACTAGCTTAGACCGGATTCACACCGTGCTGAGTGCATGACTACTGACTAAGTCAAGCCAAAGGTTAACTGTATTTGAGAACACCGAGCTCAGCTGGTGGTGCTGAAACTGCTAAGCATTCAGAGCAGCATAGGTCTTTTAGTGAAAATGTACCTTCTTGTAATGGTCTGGGTAAGTTTACTATCTTTTGTCTCTGAATGCACATAAATCTCAGGATGCCTACAAATGTGCATGTATTATTACATCTACTTCTTGAAGGGTTTGAGTGCGTGTATGTGTGTATATATAGGTAGAGACCTGCATACATCTGTATTTGTATGTATTTGAGTATATGTTGCACACACACAAAAACATATTTTAAAGCAGGTGCCATTTAAGTACAACACTCATTTTTCTAACCTCTTTGCTACATATGCTGGAAGAGCTTTTCCTGCTAAAATCCAGTGACAAGGTTTGTAATTTAGCAAACAAATTGAACATAGAAGCCAAGAAAGTTGTTGAGGAACATCTTCTAGAAATAAACTGTTAACACATTCCCAAGTCCCTGGCATGCAACAGAGAAGCGGTTCTTGGTTTTGCAGACTGTTTGACGGAGGGACAGACAAAAAGCAGCTTCTGAGCTGGATTATTTAAATCTCACAGGTTCACCCATAGGCATGTCATGGACAGTTTGGTTTTTCATTAACTTCAAAGTTGATATAGTCCCATCATCTGGAGCACAAGTCCGTTTTGCCGATTCTGCTCTCTCGTCCCTCCTGTTGTCCCTCCTTCTGTGTCTGAGCTCTAACCACGCTCCAGGAAAGCCCTCCTCAATCCAGGACTAACTGCTCCCACAAAGGGCTGCACAAGTTTGAGAGGATGGACAGGAAAAATAAAATGAAAGAAGAGAAGGTAAGCGAGTTTCAGTAGTATTTATATATTGGGTTTTATATTGTACAAGTATTTCTGAGGGAAGTCAGCACAGGGCACTGGTATTCGTTGTTTGTGAAAGCCAAAAGCAACAAGAAAAAATCTTCCCCCTCATTAACCGATCTTTTTATTGAGTGCTGGGGGAGAGGGGTTGGGAGATGGCTATTTCTTTTTAGGAATTTTGACAGCTTGTAAGATCATTTTAGCTATGATGGAAGGAAATAATTAATCAGACAGCACTGCTGAAATTCACCTTCTTGGTCATTTTTAACTAGTTTTTCTGCCTCAATAGGATTGCACCTGTAGAAAGGCTGGGGATGGAACATTGCATATACCTAGAGCCACTTACATTTACTTATTAGAGCGCAGATGTGAATAAATGCTCATCAAAACTATATTTTAAGAGGACGAGGGCATCAGATGAGAGTGTGCTTGTGCGGAGCAGCATGTGGATTGCAGACTGCTTCGTTCAGGGCAATGTTAACGTGCTCAGGGGGCTGATCCTGCCCTGAGCATCCTCGTTTCCTCCAGCTCCGCAGGAACCTCAGGAGGTGGCCCCGTGTCCCCAAGCCCCGCTCAGAAATACCCAGCTGTGCATCCAGCGCCCTGGGCACCTGGGGTTTAGGGGCAGCAGTGGCTCCGGGTGCCTCCTTCACCGCCGTGCAGGGAGCAGAGTCCTGGGGGGCTCTCGTGGGGCAGGGACAGGGTGGCACAAGGTCCCTGTCATGGAAACGTGTTGGGTTTGAGGGGGCAGCAGGGCACTAGGTGCCTGCAGGACCCCACGGTGAGGCAGTCCCTGTTTTCTCTTGCAGCACCTCACAGCAACGCTGATGCTCTCTGTCTCCACCGCCGTGCTGGGCTTCTTTCAGTATGGCTACGGCCTGGGCGTCATCAACGCTCCCCAGAAGGTAAGTGGAGCAGGTCAGCCCTGCAAAACCCCACGTCGGCACGAGGAGAGTGGCTGAGGAGACGCACGGGTCCGGGTTTTAACTCGGAGAGCCATTCAGGAGGACACTGTGCCTCTGCAGGGAGTTATCTCCCGTGGTGTGACACCACCAGGATAAGCTGGTGTGGCGAGAAAACCATTTGCATCCCCCCACTGCCATCCTGCAGCGAAAGCAGCAGGGCTCTGAACAGATCCGTGTTGTTTTTAGTGCAAAATCAGTGCCCAGAGGGGCTCAGCGCCTGTTTCTCTCTCTCAGGTGATAGAGGCCCACTACGGGCGGGTGCTGGGGGTGGCCCCTGAGGCGAGCCACGCGCTCAACGCCTCCGCGGACCACCGCGACACGACCCTCGCGAGCCTGCTGGCACCGGACGGCTTGGAGAACGCGGCCGAGCCCGAGGTGACGCTGCGGGATGCCGTCCCCCACCCCGTCCTCACCATGTACTGGTCCCTCTCGGTGTCTGTGTTCGCCGTCGGCGGCATGATCTCCTCCTTCACCGGGGGCTGGATCGGCGACCGGCTGGGGAGGTGAGAGCCCGACGCGGCGCCGCTCCTGCTCGCGGAGCCTCCACTCAGCAATCCCGGTTTTCACAACTTTCTGGGAGCTGGGAGCCCACTGCTATAAGTCTGCGCTAGACCTCCCCCAACTCCCCAGTCTCCCACCAGGCGTGCGAGTGACAGCACGTAAATTAGCTTCTATTAATTTCAAATTATTGCAGCCACAGCCTTTTTGTTTGATTTCCCCCTGCCCCAAAACTGTTTTCTCCTGATAGGAAGACCTTTTGTATTATTTTTCGCAATTTAATGGAAAAAAAAATCAAACCTCCAAAATGTTGTTCCAAATATTACAAGAGTCTGGTTTATTAAAATCCTAAATTATAAATCAGATTCTTTATTGTAACTTTAAGCACTTCTGACAAGAAATTCATAAAAAACCTTTATTAACTTTTTAATTTTGTTCCAATTTTTTATGACAAAGGGAAGAGGAGGATATTTGAATAGCATTTGCAAAGGATGTATAAAATGCTTTTAGCTGCTCTGATTACACCCCTTCCATATATCTTTCCAGCCATATGATCGTTATTCTTTGCCCTGCAGTGCTGATTAGCTCACCTGACATTTGCTCTGATTTCTGCCCCAATGTGTGCAGGACAGTGCATTTCTCTGGCTGGGGACGTGCAAGCTGACCTGAGGTGCTCTTGCAGTTGGGTTCAGCTGGCAGCAGATCATCTTTGCAACTTTACACCAGTGAAGTTTTCAACCCGAGAGGGGTCACAACTAAATGGCAAAGCAAGGGGCTAGGGTTTTTCCTCTCGTGGCAGCCTGGCTGCCCTGTGCTCCGATCCTTGCTAGCTTTTCTGCTCCGATCCTGCTCTTTGCCTCAGCGCTGTTGAGAAATGCAGCGTCCCCCTCGCAAGGTGCAAGGTGTTAAGCAGGGCCAACCCCATCTCCAGCTGCCAACCGTGCGTTTTTGGGGCCAGGTTGACAATTCCAGTGCAGCTCTGCTGTTGCTGAATTGCAGGGTTAAGGCTATGCTGGTTGTCAACGTCCTCTCCATCGCCGGGAACCTCCTCATGGGGCTGGCCAAACTCGGACCCTCTCACATCCTCATCATCGCCGGCAGAGCCATCACAGGCCTCTACTGTGGTAAGTCACAGCAGGGCCCAACCGGCCGGGCTGCCCCAGCATGACACAGACCCCACAGGGACGTGGGGACACGTGCTGCAGCCCCAGCTCACCAGCTCCATGTGGGAATCTGCCTCTTTCCTTTTTTCACACCTGCCCTCTTCACTTCAGAATCTTTTTCAGAAGTATTTAGGTCAGCTCTGCCATGCAGTCAGTCTATTTTACTTATGCTAGATCCTAGTCCTGCCTTGCTGAGCAGCACCTTCGATGTTTCTTCTTGGCTGTCATTGTTGTTATAACAATAGGTTGCTATTCATGCTGTTTAAAACGCTCCCTAGACAAGTGTATTATCTACGGTAGTGCTGTAGATAGATAGTGGAAAGAGAAGAGGGGAGGTTGATAAGATGGAGTCACTTTAGAGCTATCTTTCGAAAAGCAAGTTATTATCATTGTCACTGGTGGGCAGGTAAAATATTCCCTTTCAAAGGTTCAAGACAAGAT